TATTTAATTCGCTAAAATTTTAGACATGTGGCAACACTTTTTAATTTTTTTCCCCTAGATCGGTGGCCTTCAAAACTGTTGCACTCACTAATTTTGGTGGATTATTGTGGAAGATGTGGAGCTGGATTGACCGAATACAGGGCTTAAAGCTTTTTTAAACAGTTTTTTTTTCAAAAATAGATAGGCAAATAACAGATATATATCTATATTTTTCAACAATTTTTCAAATCACAACCGATTTTCGAGCTATGCATATTTGTGCCACATTCTCAGAAGTTAAATAATTATAATTAAACGCCAATCACGGCACGCAAGCAAGCATACATAGCTTACAAGCTGTAACTTTAAATCAAATCAAAGTTTTAGTAAGTCCAAAAAAACAACAACAAAAAACGACATAACTTTTTCGCACAGTTTGCATGCAAAGTCCCCAGAAATGCGCCGAAATCAATTTGCATTTTTAGTTCGCCATTATAGTTTGGATTTTCTCTTGTTTTTCGCGTATTTCCTTTGTGACCGACTACGCCCCCTAGGGCAATTGGTACGTGCTGGCATTTCGGCTGCCACACACACTATTTGCCACACTTCTGAGTAGACACATAAAAGTGCAAGTACTTGCATACGTACATACATACATACATACAAAGCAGCAGCTAGTCCGCCCCGCGGCACGCCATGGCACGCTACTCCAACCAGACTGCCGCCTGCCACATGCCACATGCCACTATCAGCGACATAAAGTCAACTTGCTACACAGTCTATGGCAACAACGTGTTGCAAGTTCTGCACTACTAAAAACACTTGGCGGCAACAAATAGCAATCAAAGTACTCAAGATTCCTAAAAAAAAATGTGGTGTATGAAAAAAAGAACACAAAAAGGCGAAAAAAAAAACGAAAGAAAAAACTGCGAACATAAAATTTATTTCGTATTTCGTAAACTTTCACCTCAGGCGCCAGCAAAGGCATTCAAAAGTTTTCCCTTTCGCTTTCAACAAAAATTTACGAGCACTTGAAGTGTGTCGCGTTGCACACACCCACACACTGACACGCAGACTATGGGGTTTTTTTTTCGTATTGGTGTTATTTATTTTGCGAGGGTGTTAATTTAGCTAAAAGTCACGTGCAGTCACG